AAGATAAGAGATAAGAACAATAAGATAAGAACAAGCAAAATGAGCTAATCTAATCTAGATAAGGCTATTGTTGCCGAACTGGGTAGGATGAGCATCACTGAATCCTTGCTGCTRCTGGCGGTGGGCCCGGGGCCTGTTGCTGCCGACGGCAATGGTACGTCTTCCCGAGGAAGACGTCCATAACACACACATAATAGCCTTAGGATCAAGTTTACCCTGGGTAGGGAAGAGATCATGGACGAAGTACTAGCACCCAAAGACACGCATGGGTATGGGAAACAATGGAGCCTTGGGGAAGAGGAGCTGGTGAAAGGACCTATATCCCAATAACTGAGAGGGCATTCTATTGATAATATGTGGCAGTCATAACAGCATCCAACCAAAATCTTTTTGAAACTTGCATATGCAACAAGAGTCTTCAAGCAACTTCTAAGATGTGATGGCTTTTTCTCTCTGCAACCCCATTTTGTTGGGGAGTCCTTGCACATGAGCTCCTGTGAATAGATCCACAAGACGTAAAGAAGTTGGAGAGATCTCCATGAAAGTATTCCTTGGCATTGTCTGATTGAAAGACCCAAATCTCTATTTGAAATTGGGTATACCATTCGTTGAAAATCTTTCACAAGCTTAGGAACTTCTCATGAGTGCATAGGGTACACCCAAGTGAATCGTGAAAAGTCATCAATAAAAGAAATAAAGTACTTGTAGGCATTCTCAATTGGAACATTCACAGGTCCCCAAACATCAGAGTACACAATATGGAAAGGAAAATCCGATATTTTATTACGTAAAAGAAACAAGGTTCTACAATGCTTGCTTAGTTGACACACTTGACACTGAATATCATTGACAGAAACAGACTTAAATAAATCTGGAAATAAGTACTTCAAAGACTTAAAAGACATGACCCAACCGATGGTGCCACAAAAAAACTTGACTATTACTAGACTGACTCAAAGACTCTAAAACTGTAAGACCAACTTTATTCTCTAGCACATAGAGGCCATCGACCATGCTCCCTCTACCAATCGTCCTCCCGGAAGCCAAATCATGAAAAACACAAGAGTTGGGAAGGAAAGTTACTGAATAGTTCAAAGCATGTGTAATGCTACTGATGGTTAACAAATTAATAGGCATTTTTGGGACATGCAAAACATTTTGTAATGAGAGACCAAAAGGTAAAGATATAGATCCTTGACCAGCAATGGAGGAGAAGGATCCATTAGCAAGTCTCACTTTATCTTTTCCAAATAGAAGGGTATATGACTGAAACAAAGTTGACTTACCAGTCATATGGTTGGAGGCACCAGAGTCAATAATCGACGGAGACTCCGGGGGATCAGTAGTCACATGAAAAGCAGAGGTTAAGTTACCTGAGGAAGAAGCAAATGAGGTAGAAGGTGCAAGTCTAGAATTTGTTTGTCTGATAGCCCTACCATACTGCTCCAAATGGTCACAAAAGGAGCTGATAATATGTTCCTTGGGATCTGAACTAGAGGGACAATCTAGAGACTCGTGTGAGGCAAGATTGGCAAAGGTGAACTTCTTCTGATTTGGCTTCTTGTTCTATTCTGTTGTTGATTTCTTGTTGAGTTCTTATGCCCATTTCGGTTTTCCATGCAGTTCCCAACATGTCTCACGGGTGTGTCTAGACTTTTGGCAGTAAGTGCACCACAATTTATCCTTATCATCCACCTTTTTATGATCTCCCCCCTTCCTGGCTGAATTGGTATTACTTCTTACGGCTAAAGCTATGGTCTCCCCCTCAGGATGATTCATAGCAGACCTCCTACTCTCCTTAGACTGAACTAAAGCATACACCTCTTGGATAGACGAGAGATCCTTGCTGCCCAAAATCTATACCCGAATAGACTCATACATGGGGTTAAAGCCAAGAAGGAAAGTAAACACTCATTGCTGGGAGACCAACTGTTTGTAGGCCTTGGCATCTTTCTAACTTTCCCATTCAATGGTTTGGTAGTAATCTAATTCCTTCCAGACAGATGTGAGAGCAAAGTAGTAGGCTGATAAACTCTTCTCACCTTGCTTGCATGTTGAAGATTCAGCCTGCAGCTGATAAATCCATGCATAGTGTCTCTGTTCTGAGTATGTTGCCTTGGCTTGATCCCAAATTTCTTTTGCTGTCTCAGCCCACATGAAATTTTGCTTGACAGAAGGCAGCATTGAAGTCAAGAGCCAAGACATTATCATGCAATTTTCCTGGTCCCACTTATCATACTCAGCAGTACCAGCTTTAGGTTCTTTTGTCTTACCAGTTATATATCCAACCTTACCCCTGGCAGTGATGTACAGTTGCATCTCCTTGGACCAAGCTAAGTAGTTTCTGCCGTCCAAGAAGGTAATGGTCATAGGAAAGTGCAGGGTCTCATACCCACCAAACATCCCTCCTTGATGTGAGGTAGTTTCTGAAGTTGCAAACTCTTCAGAATTATTGGAGCCAAGTGAAGGCAACAGACACAAACTGATTACAGTCCTTACCCAACTAGGTAAATACAAAAAAACTGCTAAAAAACAGAGCACAGTCCTTGCTATCTCAGATTTTCGCCGACCTAAGAGGTGTCTTCTTAAGGCAATACGAACTACAAAAAACATTTAAAGAGGTTGCTACCTTCTGTCAGTCGAACTAGGTCACTTATGACCTACCAAGATTCCTCAAACATGAAGATTATTGGGTCTTCATGCCCACCAAGAGGGATAAACTCCCTTTATATCATTCGGTCAAGCAGAATAACTTAATCAGTTCTTGGTTTCAACACCAAGAACTAAAAAAAAAGGTGGTTTAAGCTTCTGTTCGTATTCAGTCCAGGGTCTCTGTAGTTTCCAACCCAAGAACAACAAAAAACGCAGGAAGAGAACACCGACCTCTTAGGGAGATTCAGTCAGTCATCCACTGGTCTCTGGGTGTCGTATGAATCAGTTGCAGTCCAAGAAGCAAGGGCAGGACAAGAACGAACAGTCTTCAAATGGAGTTCGTGTGTGTCTCTTCCACTTCTCAGTCCAGAGGAGCAGGAAAGAGTTTCGACTTGCAGGAGATGATTTACAAAGCACTGTCCTACTCTGATACCATGTTCCAATCAACAGAGCAGTGGGCGAAGAGGAGAGAAGGAGAAGAGAAGGGGAGAAGGGGAGAAGAGAGAAAGGGATTGAGAGAAAACTCAAACTCATACTGGCGGCGCCAGTATTTTTATTATATATACTAGGGCGACCATACAACTTAAAAGAGGAAGAAAAAGACCAAAATGCCCCTTGCAGCATACACCAAATATTACATCAGAGTCTAATTTTAAAAAGAGTTTCATGGTTGCTCCCTTTTGACCATTTTAGAAATCAGTTAGGGGCTGATCTCCAAGAACAAGTACAACATTGGGTGAAATATTGTAAATAACCATGTAAAGTTTTGTACCTAGGGGTGGTGCCCTTTTTCCCCTACCTTATTCAGTTAATAATCATATTACACTATTCATTGAAAGATATACAGGATACAAGTAGATTGATTTGATCAATTTAAAAGATCTGAATTATTGTCAGATTGCTTAATATGCCAGTAAAATTATGTTACATATATTTTGTGCCTTCACAAGTTTAATATTTTTCACTTTGGCTTATATCCCAAAAAAGTGCTCAACCTTCTATACTTTCTTATTTTTCTTTTTCAGCTGATTCTTTAGTCACGCAGACTTCTAACATTTTGTTTTTATATATTTTTGGGGCAATATTTTGCTCAACTCAGCTCAACAAACCCTAGAACCATCTATTTGGGGTTGAATATACAAATCCTATTCTACAATTGCACCCTATCAAAAGCCACAACTGAAGTATTCTTGGGACAATATTCTTGAGTCAAAATCAGTTTAACTTCATCTTGTTACATCCTATTGCTAGTAATGACTAATGTGTGGCATTCTGCTAAGAATGTGTTTAACATGAGCAAATATCTTTTATTTTCTTACCCTTTGGTAGGTTGGCATCTTTTACCTTCTTCGTGATATCCATCACATCAGCTGCAAGCTAGAGATTGATCAAAAAAAATACCAAGCTAGAGACAGCCAGATATCCAATCTCAGAGGTGCTCATAACCAGACAACTAAGCTTTCTAAAAATGATAATTATCGATATGAAGTGGTTTACCCATCAATAACTAGTGATAAGAGGTTTAAGTACAGTACCATGTCAGTATGTTAACCAGCATCAATTGGCACTACCTTCAATCAAGAATGGCAAAAGTCAGTGAAGCACCAAAGAATGCTGCACAAATCCAATTCAATATGGTATTAGGACAGTGTACATCATCACCTTTTCCATCTTTTCTTGATAGACAATGGGTGGAGTGAAACATTGAAAGTTAACCTAATAAAAACACATCACAATTTGTAACCACCTTGCATATCAACGTCTGTACAAGTACTTCGATAAAGGGAACCTCAAGCTCCTTGCAACCTATAGCCAGTTTTAAATAAATACAGTTAGGGAGGTGAAGATTTTCAGCCTTTTAAGTTCATAAAATTTTGTTTATACTTCAACAATGAGAAGCTGATAAAATTTTGGTTATACTTCAACATGGGAGAATGAGAGAATCACCTTCAAAGCCATTTCTTCACTCACAGTAGATCGGTACCTAGTAGAACCTTCTAATGGGCAGGTTCCACCTTTCATTATGAAATTAGCATTGCAGAGGGTAGATAATTGCAATAGAACATCAGACATAAGTCCAACATCCCCATCTTCTGCCATAACCCCACCATCTTCTCTCTGCCCTTCCTCAAGTGAACCTTCTCCCACTGATGTGAGACACTGAAATATGGCTAATAACCTCTCCAAAGGGAAAGTTCCAGGTCCTCTCATAAGCAATTCATTCTCTGTGTTTTCCTTCTTCTCCATTGATGTTTGAGAAGCCCTAAGAACAAACCATTTGAAGTAGAAATAAGATGTCATGTAGAGATTAGAAAAGCTTGATGAGCAACAAACAACTTTACAAACAAATAGCACCGAGAAAATCTTTACATCCAACACCAAAATTCCAGAATACTAAGTTCATATGCCTTCAATACCCAGGTCAATAAAAGCTCATAGGTACAGCATTTACAACAGATACAGATGTCATCTTATAATGGAATATGTGCCAAAGCAAAGGCAACTAAGAAAAATCAAATAATTATAAAATCCCTAAAAAACATTAAGTATTAGTTGATGTAGTCATTGTCCATGAACCCTGACTTGGGGTTGAACAAGTATGACACTTACAACCATATAGTACCTATTATCAGTAAACAACAATCAGGTTGTATGATGTCAGACTGAACACTTACTTTCTCTTACGCTTTCTATTATCAGAACCCCCCATTGAATCAAACAGCGCCGCATCAAGTGTAGCTGGGTTTCTTGAAGCAAGAAATGCAGAAATAAGAAGATATTTTGCGGATATAGACATGTGGAAATCAATCTCATCTAGAGCATCCTCAATTCCCAATTTTCTTATATTACCCTTCCTCCTGACTTTCTCCTTGGCCTTGACATCAACACGAGATTCATATTGAACCCTGAATATCTCATTGAGAGAAGGTGCTATGTGGGGTTGGAGGTGACTGAACAGTTTCCTCTTCATGTCTTCAGTTGGAGCAAGACCTAAATCACTTAAAGGTTCGCAATATTTTTTAAATAGTAATGGAAAAGCGGCAGATAGTTCATCAACCCGTCTAGTCATTCTACAGAAAGGCCTTAGAACAACACTGCAAGAACATAGACATATTAGTGAAGCAATACCAAAAGAAAAAAAAAACTAAAAAAATAAATAAATGAGTCAAGAATGAATGTTATGAAAAAACAAGTTTACTTACTCAAGAAAAGAGGAAAAAAGCTTGGGATTTGCCTGGTTTCTCATGAATATCTGACATAGATTGTCTTCTGTGTAATCTGGAAAGTAAACAGGAATGGGTTCTACATGACCAGTATTTGAGTAATAGGCATCAGGGGATACATTGCTGATAAATATCAGACCCACTTCAGACATCTTCAGGATATCAAAGAGGTTGAACAACAAAAGTATAATGCCAGAACTCTTGTCCCACTCTTGGATAAGTTCCAAATGATCAAAAATCAAATAAATCATCCTCCCATGTCCTGGTTTCAACAACTCCTTTGAGCTTGCTTTCTTTATAGGCTCCTTGAGATTATTTACTACATCAGTCAAGGCTTCTCGAAGAAAGTTAACAAAATCAGCAGGCCTTTCACAGCGTTTCATGCTGGAATAACCATTGCCTGCATTCCTCCTATGAAGCAACAACTGATTTAACATGGATTCAAACAAGATACGTGGACTGTAACAAGTACGACAGCTTGAATAAACAAAAGGTCGGTTGAGATGCTTGAAAACTTGAAGAACGACACTGCTTTTCCCAGTAGAAGCACCACCATAGATGAAAAGAGGAAACATGGGAGAATTCAGGGGACCTATCAACTGCAAAAGCTCAAGAACCTGAAGTCGTCTACCGGGAAAACTAGAAAGTAGAGCATCCAAGCTCATTGGCTCTTCTCCAAATGTGAGATCACTGATTATCGACGGAGGACGGGGAGCATTGACTGTTTTTGTTGCAATTGCATTACTGGAATCTGCAGTGGAAGAGGAGGATCTGGTCGTTCTCTTGGTAATTTGTGGGGTTCCCTCTTTACCCATTTCTTCAAAAAGTTCTCAATCTGTGTTGTTTGGACTGGGTGCTTAGAAACAAAATGTGAAGTAATAAACGTAACCAAAAAAGAAGCAGAATTGAAATTTTGATATCAAATATAAAGAGGCAGAAAATAAGACAAAGATCATCCATTCAGAATAGAAATTGAAGCTTTTAAGTTACTAAACTAATCAAGCATCCGGAATAAAAAGAGCAGACCAATCATAACTCCATAGACAAATCTAAACAAGAAGTCGCGGAAAGGGAGATTAGTAAATTTGTGCGGGTTTAAAAAAAAAAGTATAACATTATAAATCATGAAAACCATGGATATCTTAGCGGGAAAATTAACAAACAGTTGATGTGCCAGTTCTGCAATAATTTTTCACGTACCAGAGTCTTAGACCAAGTAGAATGTTGATATAAAGAGAAAAAAAGCAACCCTAATCCGCATTTCAAAATAAAAAGAAGAAGAAAAGAGAGTTGTAGAGAAGATTGTGTGCACCTGACAAAGAAGAAGAAAGCCGAGTATTTCCTAAATGAAGATCGAAGAATGAACAATGCCGATGCGAAGCCTTAACCCTGGAAAATCGGGTATTTTCCCGCCCTTTTCCTTTTCCAGCGAACGAATTGGGAATGTACGTTGTGTCGTCGAGACCGGATCTGCTACTCACGCAGAGCGCCTCACACCGACCTCACACGCACATCCTATCATGCATCGGGAATATATCTCGTACTTGTAAGTGATTATTCACGGGAGATGTTCCCAATGCACATGCACGGTGGATGTGCCTATGAGGCACCCTTGTGTGAGGAACAGATTCCATTCCTGTGTTGTCCGAATTTGTTTCTCACAGTTCTCCTCACACTGACCTTATGGCATGTACCAGCCAACTCCAAATCTCCTGCCCACTAGAACTCTGTCCACATCTACCCACAACACACTACCTCTGTGCATTACGAACATCACCTCGTGCATGATGCTCTCCATGTGTGACTGCAAAGCTATATAGGTAGAGGTGGGTAGAATTCTAGTGGGTAGGAGATCTAAACTTGTACCAACCACACATTGGGAACATACATCTCCTACACTCCTAAGTCCTATCTTATTATTCATGGGTGATGTTCCCAAAACATGGTGGGATGTGTCTATAAGGCTGGTGTGAGGAGCAAGTCCCAATTCGTATTTCATACCATTGCCTATGCCTGTCCCATTTGGGTTCTAAGGTCTTGATCAAGTTCTAAGTCTAGACAAATGGCCCAGGCCCACTCGTGTGGTTTTTGATCAATCAAAACAACTGAGTAAATAAACCCTCATATGCAATGAAAGTTTGATGAGTGATCAAATATATTGTCCTTTCGGCTATGTTTGGTTTGAAGGAAATGAGGGGAAGGGAAAGAAAGGAAAAAGAAAAATTTTCTCTATCCATTGTTTAGTTAATCAATGAAAAATAAGGGAAATTAATTTTTCCTTGTTTGGTTAGAGAAAAAAAAAACATATGGAAAATTAGGTAAGGTCTGTTTGATTGTTGGAAATGGCATGGGAAAAGAGGAATATTCTTAAATGATCCCCTTTTCCTGTGTTTGTTTGTTATATACAGTGTTTTGGGATGAGAAATGAGGGGATGTAGGATCCAAAAAACAAGTGAGCAATATCGCACCAAAACAATGTGACCCCAAAGGGAAAAGAGAAGGCTAAGACACGTATGAGAAAATTTATCAAGCTTTTTTAAATCAAGAACTTGACAGTCTCATCTACCTTGTAAGTGCATCCCAATGGCCATATCTTCTACAGCTTCTTTGTCCATCTCTTTGACAGGTAAGACAAGATCCATGAACAACTTACTTTGACGATTCTATTCTACCCTTTTATGGTTTTTTGGTCCATTATTCCTTCTTCCCTATCTTCATTTTTTCCCCTTAATATGGAAGCTTAATTGTTGCTTTTATTGTCTTTGACAAAGGTTTTGTCGAATTGAAACCCCATTCTTCATGAACATGTATCCATGTCCTTTTTCTTCATTTTTTCATTCATTTTAACCCATCGGTGAGATTTGGTTGCACTAGGGTTTTTGTCATTCTTTGTGGTTGCCCTACGTATGATTTCCCTTTGTAAAACTTCCAAATACACATGGTTTTCCAAATCTAACAATTTCACCTCGTTTGTGTAGATCTGTGCGAAATCCAGGAATGTGTTTGTTTTAAACTTGAGGTAATGCCCCTACTCTCTCTATCCCATTGTTTCTCATGTATTTTCATTCTATTTTGGTTGTTGTTAGTTACTAACATTTTTTTAGTCAAGATGCCATATTGTGATTTAGTTTCCAAATACGATGTCTATGATTCATGGCTTCTTTTAAATAAAATTCCTTGATAATCAACTTTAGATACCATGTTTTCTTTTCTCTATTTTTGTTTTTATTCCATCCAATCTTTGTAAAATCAATAATAATTTTTGCACAAGTTAAATATAATCTATAAAAAATACTACAATTTATTTTCTTCAATCTTTCATGAACAACAACCTAAACCAATAGCTTGAAAAAAATATTGCATTTTCTACTATTATGAATTTTTTGTTCTAATAAATTTACTGGGCTTATGTTTCGAAGCCCATCATTCTACTTTAGGCAATATTTTCTTTTTCTATGCTACCACATAATGGTCAACTACATTCATTTTCTTAACCTCTAGGAATTTCATTTGATACCCTTTAGACAGCCTAGATCATGAGATCTGAACTGCTAAATTGATATAAGAAAGTCAAGTTCAAATTGGAGATATCATATGATTAGTAATGGAAATTACCATGTTTTATTCCTTGCATTAGTAGTAGTATCTGACTCTTTGTTCTACTACAATATCTTTTTTTTTTTTTATTTTTATGCTTTTTTTCGTGTTTCAGAATCTATATTGTGAAAGACATATATCAAAAAATTTATTGTTGTGCCTAGGTTAAGTAAAAGTAGGAGCCTAGGTTACTTTCTCATTTTTCTTTTTTCATTTATAGAGTTCTAGAATATTTATGGATTGTTTCATGTTTTTGTTTAGGCAATTGCTATGATGTTAGAAGGGTATGACAATGGTGTTGGAAGAACTTTGACCAATTAGACCCTCTGCTCTCATGAATTTTGATAAATAATGGTTGAGTGATTACCATTTTTATGGTACCAATAGATTAGTTACTAGTTGTTACGGTATCATGCCTTTTTGGTATCATATTCACACTCTTTGGTTTATTGAGCCTACATAAAAGTTAAGTAAATTGTATAAGAAGTTTCTATGCAGCATACCTCAAGTCCAACTAAAATTTAGGTATTTTCCTAGCTTTTGCTCTTTGGCACTTCAAATCATATTTAACATGGCAAATTAAAGTCTTGCAATGTCATATGCCACTTTCACAACATATTGTGATGTTAACGCTTATTCAAGTATATGTTAAATTCCTTAACCTTATTTATTTAATAAGGATTAATTAATGAAGGGTCAAATGGAGGAAAAATCAGATATATGAGAATGCAAAAGAAAATAACAACCCAACCCTACCCCTGGTTGACTCAAAACTTTCTTCATTCTCAAATTTGTCATATTATCTTTTGAACTTGATGACATATTCTTTGCTTGATTCTTGAATTTTGTTATTATTCATATAAATTTCTCCATGCCCAAGTCAACCAACATACTTTCATATGATAGAAATCCTTTGATCCCACTCTACTCCAACCCTATGTTCTACTCTAAATCAGCAAGTAGGCATTTTTAAATTGCATTGTCATACATCATATTCTTTATGTTGTAAAAGGGATGGATGTATATTCATTATATATGAACAAGTAGAAGAGGTTAGTCACTTCAAAATAACAAATGGCATATAGTAAAAAATATGGCAAAATGCTAGCCACAAATCCCCTTTAGTTTTTCCGGATTAGACCCTCCACACACTATCATGGATGAGTAAAGTCAAAGGATCCTCAAACCTTTTCCATGTACCCTATTGGTTCAAGAGTACCTTCATCTAAAAAATCTTAGAATATAGCATGCCAGCAAGTTCAAAAGGATTAGTTATGGAACATTTCCCCTATAAAGGCCTTGTTACATGAATTAGTCACCAAAAAGGCAAAAAAAAAAAGTGATGAAGAGAACTGGGTTTTTTAGTTTATGTTGATCTATAAAACACAAGTTTAAATGAATTTTCTTACCATTGTCAAGGTCCTTTCTTCTTAGGTAAGCATTCATCTAAAGAATATTAAAATCAATATTAGAACCACGCATGCAACAACAATAATGCCAACAATAGCTCCAACAGATAGCCCAGTATCAGGTTGAAGTCTACAACATGAAAAATATCATTTTGAAAAATTTTTCTAGAGAGCAAGGGGGCCCAACAAGCAAATGTATATACATACTTGGTGTCATTCTAATAGCTGAGATAAGAGGTCCATAGACTATTAAGGTAAAATATTGTAATATATTATTGAAAAGGAGGGAGAGAGTTCCTCAAATTTGGTACAAGAGAAATATATAGGCCTCTACTCTACAGAAAGTGTACTTAACATTATGACTAAGGCTAGCAATCTTGACTCCAATCCATTTGATCCACCCAATCCACCCACTTTGGAACCCACCCATTCCATTGGCGGGTCAATATGGATCAAGTAACCCATTAGATCTTGACTCCAACCCATTTGATCCACCCAATCCACCCACCTTGGAACCCACCCATTCCATTGGCGGGTCAATATGGGTCAAGTAACCCATTAGGATCAGTGAAAAGGGTCATGGTGGATTGGGTCGCGTGGGTGAGGATGGGTTGGGTCTATACCCGCGAAATCTCAAAAATACAACAATTGAAGTGACTTGAACTCAAGTCTCTTAATGCGCACACATCTCATTATAAATCCAAACCACCATGTCACATCTCATTTTATGATTATAAATGAAATAAAATAGATTTTATTAACTTTCGTGCTCAAATACAATTTTACACAAAAACACTTTTACCAAAGCAATTTTATAATGTAATTTTATGAAAAGTACTTTTAAGAAAGCACTTTTACAAAAGTACTTTTACATGAACACATTTTTATAGTACTTTTTACAAAGAACTTTTACACGAAAGCAATTTATGAAAGTACTTTTATGAAAACACTTTTATGGAAGCATAAAAGCACTTTTATGAAAACACATTTACAAAATTACTTTTACACAAGCAATTTTATAAAAGTACTTTTATGAAAGCATAAAAGCACTTTTATAAAAGTACTTTTACAAAAGCACTTTTACGAAAGTACTTCTATGAAAGCACTTTTGCAAAAGTACTTTTATAAACTTTATGCATTTTCTATAGTTTTGGTATTTTTCTGCATTTTCTACAATTTTTGGGTGCTTTTATGCATTTTTTTGGTGTTTTCATGCATTTCCTGTAATTTTCTAGTTTGTTTTTACATTTTTTCTGATTTTTTTGAAAAAATTCTACATTTTTTGCAATTTTCTAGTATTTTTCTAAAATTTTCATAATTTTTTGGTATTTTCTGTATTTTTCTAAATTTCCTACAATCTTTTGGCATTTTTTTTTCATTTTCTACATTTATCTACAAATTTTGCATTTTTGGGTATACGGGTTGACATGACCCATCTTTTGTCACGTGGTAGTCTTGAGAGAGATGATTCTCTCAAAAATGTTTTTTCGAATATATGGGTCAACCCAACCCAT